CCCCTGTGTTTGGCATTGAAAATCTTGTCTTTTGTTTTCCCTCTGAAAACAAATTGCTTGACTTCTCATTATGTTTTGAAGCCAAATACATGTGTCTTCTGGCTGACCAGTTCACATTAAGCATTTAAGAATGGTTCTAGATACATGTCTGCTGGCTGACTGGCAGTCAGTCATGGGTCAATTCAACATTTAAGAAGCAGCCTTGCATGGAATGTAAGGGACAGGGGCACAATCGTCAGCTGTCAGCAAGTGTTCTGAGGAACCAGTGGAACTGAACTGGTCATCTGGAAGGTTCCTTTGAGCCTAATAGTCCTGACTGAAGCCTGCTAGCTTTCCTAAGCCTAGGCTTCCAGAACACAGCTGTTCTTGGTGTGCTGGGGACATGGGCCCTTCTAACCTTGTGTCTTTTCACTCTGTGCTCTCCCAGGATCTTCGGCTTTCCTGCCCACTACACTGACGTCTCCAACATGGGCCGTGGCGCCCGCCAGAAGCTGCTGGGAAGGTCCTGGAGTGTGCCAGTCATCAGACATCTCTTTGCCCCCTTGAAGGACTACTTTGCATGTGAATAGTTCTACCCAGGACTGGGGTGCTCTTGGTGGGGGCCAGGTCCCCAGAGTCACCCTCTCCCTGAAGGCACCTCACCCCTCCCCTTCCTCACTCAGCTCACCTGTTTGGGGCCTCACCTCACTGTGTACCTCAGCTTTCTCCTGTTCAGTGGGAGCAGAGCCTCCTGGCCCTTGCAGGGAGCTCAAGGTGCTCCCTCCATGTGCACAGCTCAGACCTGGCTGCTTAGAGTAGCCCGACACGGTGCTCATGTTTTCTTATCTTGAAACTTGAAAACTTGAAGTAGATAGTAATAGGGCTTTTTTCCCCTCCTGGGTTAATCAGTCAGAAGTGTTGGCTAAGATACCAAAATCATAGCTCTCCCAGTACTCAGGTTAATGCTGCAAAATCACTTCAGGTTTGTTTTTAAATAACCTGTGCTCCACATTTATTTACTAGAGGACGCTAGTGCCATGTGGGCTCAGATGAACAAGGTCAAGGGGCCAGAAATGTTTTTGTTTTTTGTTTTTTAATTTTCCCTAGGGCTAGTAGAAGATGAAAAGGTTTATGACTTAGGTCTTACTGGCACCTTCCCCTTGCTTTGGTGCAAGGGCTGGAGTCCTTTTGGTCTTGTAGCATTTCCCAGTATGATGATGATGTCAGCAGGGATGACATCATCATCACATTCAGGGCTATTTCCCCCAAGATTCCCTGGGCAGGGGCCCATGTAGCTAATCCTCAAGAAGACTGGAATAGACTGTTTTGAGCTCAGGGAGGGGGGTGGCCCCTCTTTCATGTGTGAGGGACATGAAGGAGGGAGTTTAGCTAAACTTTTTCCCCATTCCCTCTCTCCAAATGATGGAGCCTCCTCCCCCACAGCTCAGGTCTCCAGAGAAGTATGATCCTCTAATACTAGGGCCAGAAGCACATCATTTTCCCTTATCTGAGAGATGATGGCGAAACCACAGTGAGAAACTTGGATCCTCTGGAGATTTTTAAAACCGTTTTACCCCATGATCCATTGTGTTTTTAAGGGGCATTCTTTTTTAGGGACATCACTGGAGATGAGAAAAGCTGCATTTCAGAAATGCTATCTCAATGGTTTTTAACACCTTTTACTCTGATTACTGGTGCTATTTTGTAGAAAAAGGACAACCTTGTCGCACTGGGGGGCTTTTTATACACTTTTTACGACTCTCAGACTTCTATTTTCATGGTTAACATTTTCATTAAAGGTTTTTTTATTATTATTTTTTTATTTTGGTAATGGAGCAGTGTCACAAGTGTGGGGAAACTGCCTTGTTTCAACAGTTTTGTCTCCTGCTTTTTAAGTTTTAGGCAGAAAGCTAACAGATGCCTAGAATTTTCCTTCCTGTTTGATTAAAGTTGTATTTCTCTAATCTTGTGTGTGTTCATCTGCTGGTGTGTGCTGACATGCACAGGATGTCTGTGCTCTCTACATCGTGGAGCTTGGTCTACTTCCAGGTTTTGCCATCCAAGATCAGGCACATCCATGTGAGTTCTAGGCCAGCCTGGGCTACATTGTGAATAAAACCTTAGCTTGCTGGATCACATGGAAAATCATAACAAAGATAAATATCCCTACTTGTAGCATTCTTGGTTAGTTACCATAATTATCCTGAAAGTTAGTTTAGTGGCCAACTTAATTCCCGTTGATTGTTAAACACGGAATTAATTGTTATAATTGATCAAGTGAAAAGTTTTGGTACCTTTAGCTTAAGATGCTCATTAGTTTGACTCACTTTGTAGAACATTATTGCTTGGGTATCTGGTCTTGACCATGGGCCAGGCAGAACAGGAGAAAACTCCAGCTACAGGTATCATATTTAGGCAGGACAAAAAAGAAAAAAAAAAAAAAA